TTTTTAAAGCTTGGATAGATGCTATGCAATCTGATACTGTTGGTACCTGTACATGTCGTTAGCTATGTACATTATGTAACTATGCTGTATGATGTCCTTTTGTTTTTCTGTTGTTTTATGTTTTTATGTCTTCATGTGTATCCAAATTGCTGCAGGTCTCCCTTGAAAAAGAGATCGATGATCTCAATGGGATCCACCTGGTTAAATAAAGGGATGAAATGAAAAAATGAGCTCCCCCTTGACCAGTTGTGATTAAAACACATCAATAATCATATATATATATATATACGATTCTGAAATGGGCCATTATGCCCACCATAAGGAGTACTTTTACTTTTGGTACTTTAAGTATATTTTGATACAGGAGATAACAAAGTCATTTTAAAATGTAGTATTGCTACTTATAGCATGTGCAGTTAGTGACCACCAGGTGGAGCTATACACACATCATAGCTACAAGATAGGCGCATTATGAATTAAAACTGCACCCTAACACCACTGCAGACAGAGTATATCTGCTGCTAAACATACAACACAAATGGATTAAATACCTCGACAAACCATGTTTAAGCTAGAGAAAATGTATTAAGAGATTCATGTATGAAGTGATGCGTGTACATTATCAGAGCCTGTAAACCGGAAGTGCTCATCCACTGACAACTACAGTAGCGAACATATCACACAGTCCATTAAAACAAAGTATGAAATGTCATGGTACTTCTCACAGTATTTTATTATTTCGAAGTGACCATGACTCGGGTGAATTTGACAATGAGCGGTTTGTTTATTCGGCCGGACTGTAGCAACTGTACCGGCGTTAGCATAGCTGTAAGCTAACACAGCGGTACCGTGTTTGTTTGTTTGATTATTTGTTCGCTTATGTGTTTGTTTGCTTATATTTATTGCTTATGTGTTAGTTTGCTTATTTGTTAAGTTTGTGTGGACGTTTGGCCATTGACTGACCTTTTAAATCACAGGAAACTCTAGTTATCGCTGTTTATTCCCTCCAGTCACTCTTCCGTGTGCATCTCGTGAGCTGGCGAAGTTGTTGTGAGCTGTTGCCATTGCGTCATCCGTATCAGTCAGCTGACCTTGGCTATGTAGCGTCTCTGGCCAGCAGGGGGCGGGGCGTCTACAGGTCATACCATCCTGCGGGGGGGCCATGGCAGAATAAACCATCTTCAGGTTTAGTTTGTTAACAGTGAATTGTGCCTGCTAAAGTTGGGCTATCCATGGCAAATCATTGTTGTCATAGTCTTTGGAAATGGTCTTATTCTCATCTAGTTTACTTTATATTTATTGTAAACATTTATTTATAGGCTATATATGAATGCTGATTTTTAAAAATAATTAACAGTTTATCTCACATTTTCGACATAGGCCTACTATGCCGTTTTTTTTCTTTATTTTTTTTCCATGGACAAAACATGTTTAAGCAACAGAAAATATTTTAAAATAATGAATGTATGAAATGTGTACATTATCAGAGCCTGTAACCCGGAAGTATAGTAATCTATATATAGATAGTATAGTAATCTTTGAAATGTAAAAATATAGAAACATTTCTACATACAATACTTTATTGTTTTTCCCCCATATTATCAACATACTATACTACGTCGTTTTCTTTAAATATTTTTGCCATCATAATGTTTAGTTTGTTCACAGAGGGGACTGTGCATAGTGCATACCAAAGTTGGGCTATCCATTCCAAATAGATATTCTATAAATACCCTTTAAAAAATGCTTCTCTAATGAAAGAGCCAGTTTACTTTAAATTCGAAAACACAGCAAGTGTGCTATACATTTCTTGTATGTGTTTATATTCACTTTCAAATCCTTATATTTTAGTTCCTTTTTTTGTAGAACTGAATCACAGTGTTTATGTATGTGTAAACCAATTTAGAAATAAACCTGATTCTGATGCATTGGACTAGTGACTCTCTACACACACACACACACACACACACACACACACACACACACACACACACACACACACACACACACACACACACACACACGAAACACTGGCAGGATACTGGATTATAGTTAGAATTGATATATTATTGCATTTAAACAACTTTAAAAGGTTTGAAGTCAACACAGCTGGATTTTCTGCCACTGTCAGCCAGGTTCAGACTTGTGTACAGCCGGTGTCTGCCCTGCAGGCGGAGATCTCCCTGTCCACGGATAAAGCGGAAGGATGCTTGAAACGCTACAGACATGCTACTTCCGTTCACCGAGCTAGCGTTTAGCATTCAGTATAAAACTACATGTTACAACGTTAATGATAGTTAATTAAGCTTAAAAAATATTACGAAACATATTTAATATTTGGAAAATGTAATGAAAGGTCAATGTCAACATTTCTTTTTTTAAAACTACCTATAGTATGTAAAATAAATCATGAATGTCCAAATAAGTCATAGTACAACATTTAATCGAAAAACAGGAACAAATCATAGTACAATCATTTTTAAAATATAATGAAAAAAATTGAATATTATGTCGAAAATATAATCTGACTACACGCATACTATTTGACATACGTTATTAACGGGTTAATTTAACATTCTTTATAAAAGCATGAAACGCCCCTCTGCAGGGCTGCCACACCCTTCATAGGCAAAGTTGAGTCATGACTGTGTAACCGGACACCAAAGCTGCTCTGCTTTTCACTGTGCACAAGAAAGCTGGGTCCACAAATACCTGCCAGCTGAAGCAGACCGTTTAAAAGTAAACTAAACTAAATTAAAACTCGAAGGAAGTAACTACAGTCACCATGAGGCTCTGTTTGAGGATTGTCTCCCTTCTTTTTGTTGTTACTGGGACTTTAACACAAGACGGTAAGCTCACTACGTCTATTTTTATCCCAACTTGTGTTATTCCTACTTTATGTTTATGGTAGTGTTCGTGTCTCTTAAGGTGAAGCAGGAAAGCATGCCTTTTTTATTTGGTCCATAGTAAATACTCACATAATACACAGCATAATAGTGGCTGCAAAGAAAAGCTTTCATAAGTTTTGCTATAAAATAATCAGTGCTTACTTACTACTAGTGATGGTGGTGAAAACTGACCCATTTTCCATCATGTGGAAACTGTGAAAGGTTTTGGAAGATTAGGAAGATATAATCTACTCCTGTCCTGTGATTTTGCATCCATAAAGGACTATAATGCTGACTCAGGTGTATTTCTCTCAGACACACTGAATGAAGAAGTTAATCCCAAATTGAGTTAATTATATATAAAATAGGTAATTGCTCTTAAAAGAGAATACATAGGATAGTTGTTTCAGGATGATAGGAGTCCCACAGGAAGGTGAGGTTCAGTTGTTCAATAATGCAAACTTGTAAGGACTTTAAACCAGAGGACATGAGTCAAGGTCCCTTAATGTTCCCCACCAAGAAAAAACTAGTAGACCACTTTTAACACTATTATTTTCAGTTTATTTGAACTGTTTAATAGTATTTTATGTTAACATGACTCTCGTATTTTAGCGTTAAATGCTAAAGAATGTTATTTATGAACTAAATTACCCCACCTTCTGGAGGTTCTGGAATGTGAACTCCACCCATGTTGCCAAAACCCGCCAATACTTATATATTTTCTGCACATGATAAGGTTATCATAACAGTGAAAAAATATGCAAATACAGATTAGAACAATGACATACATTTCAATGGGGTCATTACAGACAGTTTGGGTAGGACATAATAACTGTACATGGATGGATTACAAGGATATTAAAAGACTGAAAGTTCAGAAAAAAACAAACATCCCCCTGTGGAAATTAAAATAATTATAACCTGCTAAAAGAAATACAATTTATTTATTTGATATAAATACTTGTACAGAATTGTCTGTGTGCCGTGCGTCGCTGCTTCCTGTTTGAACCAAGGAGGGCTGGCAGAGAAAACCACAGGCACGCACTTGAGAGGAAGATGGCATGCTGTCTTGAAGTCAGTTTGGTTACTAAGTCACGGACGATGTTTGATTTCTGCAAAATGACTTATTAAAGTTTAATTTGCTGTAAGATAATTTTTTCTGGAACAGTATAAACACAAGGCCCCAAAAGAGAGCTAACACCCATTTTGTAAAATATTAAAAACTGCCATAGCTGCTGTTCCCTCATATTGAGGCAGGGAAAACACATGTGAAAATGTATTGTCAAAAATATATTAATATATAATAAATATTGCAATTTGTGTGTTAAAGCCCTTACTAACCCACAGGCGGGACATATTGACCAGAAAGTTTCAAATGAAAGAACTTCTATAAGATTATAGAGATTTGATAGGAGTACATTCACACAAGTTCATTGTAAGATTACCCTGTGTGTGTTTCACTGTGACGCTGTTTTAAATCCTCCTGGGCAACAAAGTGTAGGCATCTGCTTCTCTGTGGGGAAGCAACTCACCGAGCAGTGACTCATTTGTCAGAGCGTATCACTCAGTTGCCATAGGAACCTGCAAATACACTGTCTGACTGAAGCGTCCAAACACAGAACACATGTGCTTCCACTGTGGACACAGAGAGAGATTCAAACCCTGACTCAGCTTGAACATGTTTCTATCAGTGTTGATTATTAATGTCTGATTAATGGTGTCCTCCTCACAGGATTTGACCTCTACGATGCTCTCGATAATGATGAAGGTGAGTGGTGCCATTTGGCACCATATTCATGCTTTTATGAGTAAAACAGTTATGCATCCAGGGTTGGGGATGATTTAGTTGAAAAAGCATATCTTTTTTTTTTACTCCTAAACATGGGAGATTGAGGCCAATATAAGAGCACTGTATAGCTCTAACAAAGTAGGTAAAGAAGCACTTACATCAACAGAATCATCATAACATTTATTTTTTAAACAGTAAAGAAAGCCTTACACCCCACACATTTGAATCACTCTTAAGGGGTCAAATGTTATTCCTCACTTATATTTTTGACTTTATTTTTGATAAAATACCTTTTCATCATGAGCTTTCATTCAAATGTCATTGTTGTCTTAAGGGGATGGATTTTGCCCAATTGTCAGTCATGTCCTTACATGAAAATGATTAACCTCAAACACATGTCTGTTGGGGAAGGTGAATGTAACACAAGCTAGGTGGAAGGTGGAATTTGAAGGCTCATAGACACTGGCCTTCTGAATCATGACTTCTGTCCCCTGGAAGCATGCAGTGGTGTCTGAACCTGCCTGGATTTTCTTAGTTTGCATTGTTGGGGATGTTCTTGGGCGTCGGCATCTCTAACAATGTAGCAACCGAGTGCCAGATAGCACATGCATAGAGGGGAAAGCTACTAAAATAGCAGACACAGCAGTAACATATTACATACATAGCTTCTTTTAAAAACAAGCGTAATCTGTGGAATGTTTACAAACCACAGCCCACTAATCCTACTAACCTGTGACACCTTTGGTACATATGGGGACATTTCAGAGAAAATTGGAAATGCTAACTGTCACAAACTGCTCCTTTTTATTTTTATTTCTTAGTACGACCTACACCTGCGAAACCCAAAGAGGAACCAAAAGCCCCAGAGGATCCTAAAAGTGACGGTATGTATCCTTCCACCTGTCACATTATTCCATGTGTTATATAAGACAAAAAGCCTATCAGGGAAGCCACCTTTTATTTAACATGATCACAGTATTCTCTCTTGTGCAGACACACACATACTATCACAGGAATATCTCAACATGTCGTCATTTGTATATACCAATGAGCCCCAGAAGTTGTATGAACTTTTTTGGCAGTACATACCATGAATCCAACATACAAGAATTCCACACACGTGACATCTAGGTGTATTTCATTATTTTTTCTATGTGTGATTTTTACGATGTGGTTGAACCTGATGGGTTGCATTGTTAATGTGTGGTTGCATCCCTATATCGCAGCCATGAAGGTGTGTGTGTGTACATACAGTGCAAAGTGATGAACTCACTAATCCTGAGGAAAAAGTATTCCTTTTAATGGAGCAGTTCAGTTTGTGTTGTTTAATGCTTTTTTCCCCTCCTTCTCCCTCCAGGTGGGCTCGACCTTTCAGATGCATTTGGACCAGGTAAATACACGGTGCACTGTGTGTGGTGTCAGGGCTTTCATACCAGGCTAAGTCTGTGTTTCTTTCTGTATCAGCTTTACATGATTGTTACATTGTTGTCCTTTTCTAAATAAATGTTTTTTCTGCAGCTGAGCCTAAGCCGACCCTTAAGCCGACCCCTAAGAAACCGAGCTCAGGAGATGCTGGTAGGTTTCCCTCTAAGATCTCCCGGTTAGGAGCCATGTTCCCTTCCTGTGAACCTAATCAAATCACAATGACATAAAATAGTCAATAGTGTTTAATCGTGTGTTTGTGTATTACAGGTGGTGGCGACGGATTTGATCTGGGGGATGCTCTGGGTCCAGGTGAGGGGAATATCTCATATCAAATTTTAAATGTTCTCAATGAACGGTTGAAGCTTTGCTATTTGTATTAATTACAAGCATTCTAAATTGGTTTGATAGATGCCTCCCCAGCAGTCATGGTCCAATATTAGCTGCTGAAATGGTAGTTATAGAGTTTGGACTGAGTTGTCCTTCTATCTAGCGTGTATTTGGAGTCACTGGGTCACAGGACATTGAGGCTATTAAAACAAGTGATCTTCTTAGTGTCACTTCCAAGGCCAGGGGAATTTCATACTCTTCCTTGATAGCCCTGCTCTTGATAGCTCCTGGATGCTAATGCTACTATACAAGAGTGTAAATAAGTTCTACCCCTCATGATCTAAGGTAGTGTTACTTCCATCACATTAAAGCACGCTTTCTATTTTGATCCAGTCCTAGCTGTCCTGGTATGTGAGCTAAGCAGCCAGACGGGGATGCTAGAACAAAATGCTACTTTAGCCTAGCTTAGCTTTACGCTGCAACACGAGAACAATGCCATGTTAAGATCTGCTATATCCTATATCCTTTCATCAACTGTTATTTTAGCTGACAGATCGACAAGTTCTAGCAGGAAAAATGAGTTTAATTCTCCATTTAAACTAGACAGAGGACACTCAAATATGACTCCTTTTCATAGACAGTACAGTCCTTTTGTGCAATCAAATAAAAATCAAATCAAATCAAAGTTTATTTATAAAGCACATTTAAAAGCGATTTTTGGTCGGGCCAAAGTGCTGTACATGTAATAAATACTACAATCACATAAAAACACATGACTACAATCACAATAAAAGACAATAAATTACAACAGATATATAAAAAACACAGGGAAAAGTCAGGAGTCGTGCTCCGCTCTGACTAAAAGGCCAGGGAGAAGAAGTGTGTTTTTAAGAGGAGATTTAAAAAAAAAAAAAAAACAGGGTCTGGGCCGACCTCAATTACACTAATAAACACAATTCTGTATATTCTCAAAATCACTCATGTTGATTTCTGGCCTGCTTTCTTACTGTATGTCCTTAATGATTGATTTGTGCCCACAGACCCCAACCCCAAACCTGACAAACCTGTAGTGAACCCACCACCCAGCGGAGGAGGTCAGTCAGTCCACACATATCATTTATTACGTCTTTAGACTGAATTTAAAATGGCTCTTAAAAGGACACATCTGCTGATATTCTTTTTTTATCTTAATCCCATGTGGAGTCAGAGTACAGCAGGTTTATCCTAATAAAATTGTACTTTTCTAAAAGGCGGAGGAAATTTCGATATCAACGACTTAGCTGAAGCTGGTGGTGGTGGCTACAAGCCCGATGAAGGCCCAGGAGGAGGTGAGACCTAACATCACATTGGTTCAATTACGCTTAATACAGTATAGTATGAATATTTGTGTTAGATATACATATAAATGCCTCTGAACACTGGATGTAGTTTTGAATCTTGATGTAGTTTCCTCCCTTTGTTTTTCGTTTCTGACTCATTCAAGCTTAGGGACTCAAGAGAACCGCAAAACATGTATTTACTGTCACGGCAACGCTGACACATTCCAATCTGACCACATCTTATTCATCTATTCTCGTTGTTTGAGGGAAGTGAAATCGTTTTAAGTGTGCTTTCATGGTAGGGGCATTAGTTCTGCAAAACACACACACACACACACACACACACACACACACACACACACACACACACACACACACACACACACACACACACACACACACACACACACACACACGTTAGTGGGTTTATTCTGAAATCATATGAGAGTGTAAGACGGTGTAATAAGGATTAGTATGTTGGCTAACATGCTGTGACTCACTTGTTATGTTAGTGATTTTTATCAGTTGCTACAGCATCGCTTGTATTATTTTCTCCTTGTGAGTCTCTGTCGTTCACGGGTTTCATCGGAAAAATAAGTGCCGACTGGTCCATGTGACCTGGAAAACTCCAATGTCCTGGAAAAAAAAAGAGGAAGATCTGGCGCTCAAATATTATCTGCGTTTATTGAACTTAAATATCACTGACATGTGCAAAATGGAGACCAGAACACTGCTTTAGGCATGCTTAAGGTGGACTGTATACATGTACTGTATACGGTAATTTGAGTGATAAACTGCGTACGCTAGTTTATGATTTAAGAAGATGAATCCATAATGAAATAGCTCAGTAAAGGATTGGTCATACAGCCTTTGTTTTGTGTTTCTTTACTGCGGTGGAGCTGGAGCATGGAAGTCATTAGTTGTTCTTCTACAAAAGAAAGAAAGAGGAATAAAACCCACAGGCTCTGCAGTGTAATGGGAGCCACATGGCTGGTTTCAGATCACATTCTGATGCACAGCCTACACCCCCTCTCAGCTGGAGTAAGAAAAGTCAAACAAATGTAGGAGGGGAATCCCAGTGATGACACTAATACTTATAATACTATCAGGGTTGGGCAGAAAGTGGGACCCAGGAGCAGTGAAAAATAAGACCTTTTTTTACTAGAGTTGGTAAACAAAAAGGAAAAGTTTAACATACAGGCAGGACCTCATGGAAACCAGACGGAAAGACACGCTCACAGTGACCAAGACACACTGGGGGGGGGGGGGGCAGGGACATGAGGGGCAGCAGGTGAACACAACCAGACAATCAGGCAGGAAGTAAAGCCAGACAAGACACAAGGAGGAAATACATTTCAAAAATAAAACGGGTATCATTAAATACAAAAATTAAATCTAAATGTTCTTTTTGAATCCAGGTGGTGGCTCGGACCAAGGCTATGAATCTAACGGTACGTCTGATATATTTCATTCTGCAGTATTGTTATAAGTTTGCTACAATACTAAATCTTCTTTGTGTCCTCATCCTAGATGGTGCTGAAGAGCCTCAAGGTAAACCCATATCTCATCTTCTTCTCTACTTCCTGTCTTTGTGTTTGTGCGTGGGCCTCTTTATTCCTCCCTGAAGAGTTCATCTGCTCTTTAAGTCTTGATGGGATTTCCTGTTTACGATCCTTAGAGGAAGTTGGGTTCACTGCTTCAGTTTGGTCGCCGACCCAACACTTGCTGTGGTGGTGTTTAATCCGTTTAGAATCTGGCTTTGAAATCAGCCTCAGTTCACCAGAGCAAACTGGTGTGTTTGGGGGTGATTTGACATCTTTGATACTTGGAACCCCGGTCTGGTTTCTGTGGCTAAAACACTGCTACGATTGTGTGTCGTTGCAGATCCAGACCTTCCGTGGGGCCAAATCCTGAAGATGCTAAATGCTAACATGCCAGAGGAATTCTATATGTGGATGTCCAACTTAAAGCAGGTCCTCGCCCCTCTGTTAGAGAGGGCCATGAATCTGATGCAGGTTATACCCTGAAGCATCTCACATCTGATTGGCTCTCAGGTTTAATAGTGTTTGCTTCAATGTGAGAGAATTGTGAAGCTGACGTCGGGACGATTACTGGGATTTTTTTGTTCTTTCTAGAAGGTTAATTTGAAACTGTGTAGCTAACCCAGATACACCCCCTGTGCCCTTTGACCTCTGTTATCGTAGCACATAGCTGCATGTCTGAAATGGAGCTGGGAGATCTGTGTATGGTGAACCCCCGCTAAAAGGCTAAATAATATAGTGTAGACTTTCTCCCTGTTATTCCAGACTTACCAGACACCCTGCTGTATGTGGGTGTAGACCTACATTCATTTTATTCTCACTCCACCCAGCAGTGCCGTGACTCATGATGTTGTTAGTGTGCAGAGTCTCTATTGTGTGACTGCAGCACACAGCTACTTTTCTTACACAACAGCACATTTGTTCATGTTGTTTTAAAGCTTGTAGTTCGTTGCTGTCCTTCATAAAGTTTCCATGTGTGCGAGTCTTTGCACCGCACACATACTTTACATTACCAGCATTCAAAGCTGACAGATCCAACATGTACAGTTGGTTTTACTTCTCGTTTGTACGAAAACACCCTCACCAACTTGAAAAGTATATTTGCATTTTTATTATGAAAGTATTTTGGGCCATTGTCGTGCGTTGGCTCCAACGGGCACCATACTCGTCATTGGATTAACTTTGAAGAATTGGATCATATGATGTTTTTTCCCTCTGGCGTTTTTTAGCTCATGAGAAGCTCTCTGTGTACTTTTCGGTTTCCGTCAGCGTATTTATTTTTGGTGTCTTCTTTGTAGTTTTTCTTACTTTTGGTCTTCATGGAGCATTGCTGCTGTGAATGCAATGTTAAGTCATGAGATGTACGATGCATAATGAATAAAACAAACATGTGGACTGATCAGAGTTGACTTCACAACGCGTCTGATTTATGAACCATGGAAGGTACACCTGACTGATTACACTTGACCTGGCACAATGCACATTTTAAAACCATTCTATCATCCACTGAAGCAGTGGTTCCCAACCTGGGGGGCGCGCCCAACATGATACCCCCAGCCGCCAGATTTGAGGCCAAATATTTTTATTTTTATTTTATACATAGCCTATAATTGTCTTGTGAATTGTTTCTACTTGCGGCATCCTTTAATTTCTTCATACAGCGGGAGTCCAAATGAATTAATCCTGAGTCCAATAACCATCAAAGTCACTC